AGGAGCCGTTTTAGGAGAAAAAAATGGCAAGCTGTCGGTGTGGGCCCAAGTGGCTTGCACTAGGAAATGTATTAATAGAATAATCAAGTGTCATCAAGTCAGTTCTGACTTAGGGTGACCCTTTTCAGGGTTTTCTGTGTATTCACTTCCACATTCTGAAAATATTGCAAGAAAAATCCTAGAAATACATATTTCTAAAGTTGAGGTTACCAGACATTGGAGAGGGCCAGAGACCCATGCTGCGTATATAGCACTTGCAATAATCTGCCTTTTTTACCTGCCGCGGGGGTTGGGAGGGGGTTGGAACTGTTCCCTCATGGATATGGGAGTCCTACTGGACTCAGAATTGGTTTTCCCTTCCCTCCTTCTTGGATGGGGGACATCCTGGGACTCTGCAGCTGGCCCAAGGCCCCCCAGGCTGGCTCTTCTGGGATGCATAGTGGGGGAATCGAACTCCCAACCAACTCACTAAACTGTACAGCCAGCATCGCTGCGCACTCTCAGCTCAATTCTGGCACGTGGCAACCCTTTTTTCAGGGTTTTCCAGGTAAATGGAAAAGAATGTCAGATTTTACTGGGGTCAATATTGTCATTCCTTTACCTTTCCTTTGCCACTCATATCTGGCCATCTCCAAAATGGACTTCAATACTGGGGTAATTCTACCGGGGTAAATATTTCTTTACCTTTCTTTTGCCACTCATATCTGGCCATCTCCAAAAGGTTCTATCCTCTAGTCCTGCTCAGCTCCTGCAAACCCAAGCCCCTGGCTTCCTTTAGGGAGTCCATCTCGTGTGTGGTGTTCCTCCTTTCCTGCTGCCTTCCGCCTCCTACTCAGCTCCTGCAAACCCAAGCCTCTGGCTTCCTTTAGGGAGTCAGTCCATCTCGTGTGTGGTGTTCCTCCTTTCCTGCTGCCTTCCACCTTTCCCATCATTGTTGTCTTTTCCTGAGAATCCCACCTTCTCATGATGTGCCCCAAAGCAGGACAGCCTCTGTTTCAATGCTTTTTGCCTCCAGGGATCGTTCAGGCTTGATTGGCTCTAAGACCCGCTTGTTCCTCTTTTTGGCCATCTGTTCTGGGCTATCTGCAAAGCTCTCCTCCCGCACCATATTTCAAATAAATCCGTAAATTCAGCTCTCTAAATGTAAATAAGTCACTTATGCTAGCTGGGGAATTCTGAGACTTGCACCTTGACATGATGATGTTTTACCAAATATGATCTCAGCTCAGTATCCTCAGTATTAGGGTGCTGCAAGTCAAAAACATGTGGCACCCTAAAGACTGTCAAAAATGGAAAAAAAGAGAAATAACTGTATGAAATACCAAATGCACAAGTAGACATTCAAAACATTAATAGGCTCTAAGAGTTTGGGGTGGGTTTAAGTTTACTTATGAATTTGATATTTCATCCGGTATTTAATTCCACCCCCCCCCAATATCTGACAAAGTGGACTTGTCTATAAATGCTCTAATTAAAATATAATAGTCTTGAAGGTGCCACATGTTTTTGTATTTACCCGTGTTTCCCCCAAAATAAGACAGTTCTTATATTAATTTTTGCTTCAAAAACTAGGGCTTATTTTCAGGGGATGTTTTATTTTACAGTCATGTCATCTGGTTGCCGCACAATGCTGCACAATGGTGGAGAGCAGGGTTTCACTTAACTGGGGCTTATTTTTGGCATAGGGCTTATATGATGAGCATCCTGAAAAATCATACTTGGGCTTATTTTCAGGTTAGGTCTTATTTTTGAGGAAACGGGATATGTTTTGTTTCTTTGGATATTTACTCATATGCTTGCACAGACTAATATGGCTACCTCTTCTAAAATTACAGGATGGAGTGATGGAATCAGTCCTGGGAGCACATCAGACTGAATATGGTTTTAAAGGTTCGTGTGTCTTATATTTTCCAAGTAAATACTGTACTGTATTGAAAATCTGGGTGGAAAGAAATGGGATCCGACTTGTATCTACACATTTATTTTGTATTAATTACATTCCTGACTGCTCCTCTCATTCCTAATCTATTGGCTGCAGAAACCAGACTTTACAAGCAATTAAAAAGAGGTAGAAAAAGTCCCTTATTACTTTTACAAACTGTGGTACTTTTGAACACGCCAGCAAGAGAAAGGAGGAGACACGCCAGCCAGCGAGGTTGCCTGGTTATATTTTTACCACCAGCTTCCTGCTCTCTTCCTTTTTTTACCATAGATGGTAACAACGCTGTCACAGGCATGTGGAAAGTGGAAACAAACAGGCGTAATACTAGTCCGGAGCTCTAAAATCTGCCTGCAGGGACGTGCGCTTTGCGTCTGGGATTCCTTGCATTCAGAAGGAGGGGGAATCCAAGAGATTTGCGTGGTTGCTAGGAGGGAATTAAACAGCGGGTTCCTTTTGTATATTTGTGTGTGCCAGTGTTTGCATCAAGGATGTGGAATTGCCAGTATCTAGTGCTTTGGTTTTCATTTAGATTGCACATATAAAAAAATTGTAAGGCTGGGAGACTACCAGAAGTACATCAAGAGAATCATTCTGTTTTCCCCACCACCACCAAAAAAAAAGATCATTGCCCTCATATTAAGGATTATTGGAGAACCAGATATTAAAGCTCTTGATACTAAGACTATTCTCGTGTAAGAACAAACTGTTTTCAGTGATGACGTCAACTTCGTCACTTCTTTGTTAGCAGTATCCACTGGGACCACATTCTTGTTAGCTTAAGTGGCCAGCAAAGACCCATCTTTTACTGAGCACATTTTGTTGGTTTCTGAAAGTTACTTTTAAAAATATACTTCTATGCTGAGTTGGTTTTGGGTGGCTTCATTTTATTGTTGCTTTTACAGTTCTGTTGCTGGTTTGCAAGCCACTTGGAAGAACTGGGATGCCAAGCTGGCTGGGGAAGAAGTACATTTCTGTAAAGCAAGGTACTTATCAGGTAGCCTGCGTTTTTCACCTGCCATGGGGGTTTGTAGCCTGAGTGGTAAATTTGAAATGCCAGAGCTTATAATGATAGCTGTCATAGCCACTTCAATCCCTGCTAGGGAAGTCCAAAATGCAGACCCCTGTGTTGATTCATAGGAGCAAACCAGTTCTAGTACCTTTTATCTGAACTAGTAACAGGTCTTTTGCAGACTTAAGGGTTTTTAACTCCTCATTTAATAAAACCAATCCCCTGCCCCAATATTTTAGATTACAGCAGGAGCAGCTGATATCATGTGGTTGCTGGAAGAAATTAACTTTCCACTGGATGCTATTTGGACTGTCGCTGTTAAAGCTCAGAGAGGACAGGGATTTTTAAGGCTGGGGAGACACTGAGGTTATTGTCCCTATAACAATTAATAAAAGGGCTAAGGCATGTAAACCATGACTCTACTACATCATTGGTCCTGAGAACAATTTTGGGACCGATAGGGCTGGGACGTGGCCCTCATCTGGTGGCTTACATAGAGGTCTGGAGGGTGAGGATTGTAGGCAGCTGGGTCTGGTTGCTGTTTTAATTTACTATGATTATTCTTGATTAATGCTGTGTTGGTGACACTGCAGAGAAAAATGTCTGCTAAACCCTGATGTCTAATATTGAGCAGACTACACTTCTCCCTTCCTCAATGTCAGGGGCACCAGACCCCCATGTATAGCTCTTCAAAGTCCATGTATAACTCTTATGTCCTAAACCCCCCCCCAACATACCTACAAAGCATAAACAACTCTTCAAAATCCATGTATAACTCTTATGTCCCAACCCCCCCAACATACCTACAAAGCATAAACAGCTGATTCTCTCTCAAAACATCTGTGTATGATCAAAACCATTCTGCTTGGACCTGTGCAATTCAATGGAGACGTGTATATTTTTAAAAAGAGGATTCTATGATAGGAAAGATGAGTGAGCCCTGCCTGGGCTTTGGCAGTCGCCAACCCGTGTCAGGTGTGAAAAAAGATGAGTAAGTGAACCAAGCAACATCCTACAAGAAAAGCACAAAAGAGCAAAGGCAGTCAGGAAGGGGGAAAGAAAACCAGCCAACCAATTAACCGACCAAAACAGAGTCAATAGTTAGGAGAAATATTTCGGCCAGATTCGTGTCAGGCTGAGTGGACAATCCAGAGACAAGTTTGTCACTTAAGCTGAGTGAGGACTCAGCCTTTGTGTTGCTTATTTCCCAAGGAAGAGAGCCAAGATGTTGGTATTGCAGACGTGCCTGGCAGTCTCTGTGACTCTGTTCTTGGCCCACCTTGACCAGAAGCAAAAAAAGAGAGTGAGGGGTGGCCATTCCAGGACCTTGGATAGTTCTGAGGAAGTATCCTGGACAGGAGCTGGAGGCCTATTAACCCTTGGGGTTTGTGTTAGAGAGAGAATGGTCCCTAAGGAACAGAGGGAAAATGTCCAACCTATGTGGGCTAGCTTGAGGATATAAAGGAGGACCTCGAGGAGCAGGGGAGAAAGTTGCTGAATTAGGAAAGAATTTGGAAATCTCAGAGCAAGGGAGACTCGAATTTGAAGCCCTAGAGGAGGAAGAAGATCCTTG